ACATAAAAATACACAAATGCAGAAATGGATTAAAATAAGAGAATATGAGCAAGACTGTCTGGATTGAACTTTTGAGTTGCAAATTGCCATTGCTGGACTCACTGGAGTGAAGTCCAAGAGAATATGTTAAATGTAAATATGTGAGAAAATAGACTGAGTGTGCAAGCTGGGTGTGGGTAGGTAACAGAAAATAAAACTAAGATACATGAAATGAAACGAGATGATGGAGCTAGCCTGTATTGCCTTTTATAATCTGCCCTTCCTGCTGTCCTCGCTGTGTAATTTACAGCCACCTGGAATTTTCTTCATTCCAAATCAGCAACTAGCAGCTTAAAGCAGCTGCATTACCTTTGCAGCTGGGACCAAAAGACAGTTCCGTGGCTGCCGCATCTTTGTAATAGGAATGACACTAATTCTGTGACTTCTTGAGCAGGAGTGTGGTCATATCTACTCTGCATTTGAAGTGACTCATCCCTACAAGTGTAGACACACATGCCAAAAGCCATTGCAAATGCAAGACTAAATAGCGCCAGCCAGACTGATCTTTACTGTTCGTTGCATCTTAAAAAAAAAAAGGTAGGGGGAGGGGAAATTAGGAATGCTATTTGCTCTTTAAAAAAACAACCAAACCCTAGATAATTATATTCTCTGACAAAGCTACACTTAGGGAATTACTCTTTTTTAAAACATTGCCAGTGTACTGTGAGGGCTATGTATCCGTGTAGATTTTGACCCAACAGGCAGAGTCAAATTCATTGAGTTCATCATAAGCACACTGCATTCTGCCAGGATATCAAATAAAATTCTAGATTTCCTGATTAACAAAGAATATCATACCCTCTGACCGCAGAAAAACAACATTTAGTTTCTTGGTTATGGGATCTCAGCAGGCCTTGCTTGTGACAAGAGTAAAAGTTATTTTCTCTCTATGTTATGTTTCTTTAGCAAATGTTTTAAAAATTGCTTAAAGAACCTAAAAGGTCATTTGAAAGTCTTATTTTTATTGTCACTGCCTCCAAAATACATTCCATAACTCAGTTTAATGTGATCTGCAGCAGGCCAAGAGTTTTACAAGCCAAGATATTATGTCTACTCCAGTTAGAGACACGACAGAGTTCAGTGAAGAGGGGAGAGTGAAGATCTAGTTTGAGAAAAGTAATTTTGCAATGCCTATAAAAAATGGAAGGAAAATATCTCTCCACATTCAGTTTTGATGACTGAACATGTTCATGGCCTTTCCTATGGTAGAGGAGCCCTATCAAGCACTTTATAAGGAAATAGACAAACGTCTGAGGACATCTGTTTAACAGCATGTCAAGAGAAGGTTCACCCTCCTCCCAGAGTATTCCCTGTTCCTGTACATAACTCAACTTTCTCCTGGCTTCATCGCCCACAAGCCTCCATAGTCCACAAGCCAGTGCAGAGAACAGTGGGGCTGGAACTTGTTCTTGTGTTACTACTGACTACCGATACTGCATCCATCCACTGTATCTTCAGATGAGGAAATATAATTTGCACATATTAGGTACAATTTTTATATAAAGAGACCCTTTACCAGGCCACTTTCATCTCCCTAAGTACTAAATACTTCGAACTACAAGTGGATTAATCTGTGTCAGACTGGCCTGTTGCATTGTAGGGGCAAGAATTCACTCATTTGAGTCTGGACCATGATTCTGTTAGCTGTTATCCTTCCGGTTGCCTGTTGATGGTGGACAGCTTTAATCTTGCCAGTAGTCACAGTACTTTGCAGTATTTGGCCCCACACGCTTAGTTTATACAAGTCAGCAGCTGTCAGTGTTTATGGGAACCATTCTGTCACTGAAAAGATCCTTCACATCTTTGCTTTTTATTAACTATTTTCTTGACAGTCTCATTATGACTGCCAAAGTCCTACATTGTTTGGAGCTCTTTTCTCCTAACTGCTGGCCTTAAAAGCTTAGGTCACTGGAATATCTTAAGTCCAAGTTATCTTTCTCTGTATTATAGGAGAGCTGGCATAAGTTAGAACAATCAACTGAGGGATGCAAAGAGATTGTTTTGTTTAATTACAGCTGCGTATGTCCCAGCAATTCATTGAGTATTGTCATTCCTACTTGTTTTGCAGTGGCACAAAAAGTACAAACCCGGGGTTGGCCTTTGTTGTGTGAGTCATACAGCAAGCCCAGAACAGGGCACTTGTCCTTGTCACATGCTGCATACAGTATTCCTTTTTTTCAGTCATCCAAGGGTTAATACACGAGGTCCTCAGGCTAAGACTTTAGTATGTTTGTTAGGTAGGCACCTGGAAATTCAGAGAGAAATCTTGCTTTATGTAAAGAAGACTCCTTAGTTTTCTTCCTTGTTTTTTCCATGAAGATGGTTTCTACCATGGCATTTTAACTCCTGATTATGACTTCTGAATATAAACTGTAACTTTCTTCAAAGAGACCTATATGTTATGGTAAATCCATTTGGCTTTTCCTAGTAAACTAGTAATCCTGTCACTCAGGCTGATGGAGGAGTTTAAACAACTGTATTCTGCTTGGTGGAAGTTAGAGGCACACATTTCCTTTTCAGTTGTTAGACAGAGTCTCAGCCCAGTTATTTGTGCAGTAGTAACTGTACTGACCTAAAGAAGGTTATTCCAGATTTATATTGTCATAAATAAGACCAGAATTGCGCTTATTCCAGTACATGACCAGCATTAGCAGAGCACCTCAGTTCCTGTTAAATGTTTACAAACAGGAATAACAATTGCTTGTTCCCTCACTCTTCCTGTCTTAGCATCTGTAAAGAAAAATAGCTTTGTTTTACAGTGGTTATTGTGCTCAGTTTGCGAATGTAAGTGAGTGACTGTGGTCTGAGAGAGTTGGGGATATGTGTGAGAGAAGTCATGAATACGTTTGGTTTGACACTTCTGCAAAAGTGTCTAAAATGTGGAAATTTGTTCTGCTCTCGGTTTTCCAGTTCACTTTTGCCTTCAGTGGGAAGATGTAATGTCATCTAGATAGTCATCCTGTGAAAGTTCAGTATCCCGTACGCGTATTCTGTAACATGGCTCTACTATCTGGCAGCCAAGCTAGCTATGGTCTGCGTTTGGCTGCATGTTTTAGAGGGTACAGAAAAAAACATGTTCAGGGGAGAGGCAGTGCAGGCAGCTAAGCGGGTGAACTGCACAAGGAAATCTTTGCTTTTAATAAGACAGAAATGTTTCTGCTGCAGCTTTCTTGGATTTGTTCTTTCACTCCTGATATAGTTCTTTTTGATGCAGAAATAAGCATTGGGTGATTCACTGAGACGTTAAAACCCTAAGGTATTTCATAGCTCATGTCTAGAAATTAATATTTGTCACCGTGGACATTTGGATATCAAATTTGAGAAGTATAAAAGGGTGCCAGTGATGAGGACTGACTCAAAAGTCCACGCTGGGTATTCTGCGCCATGGAGACCAGAGCATTTTTTGAAGTGTATTACTCTTCTGGTAGTACTTTTTTAGTTTGTCTTAATCTTAGCTTTATCAGTTGCATTTAACCTTGTACTGCTTTAAGCTAAGCATTGTTAAACTTGGAAGACGTTGCTGATCAGTATTGTAGGAAAAAGCGGATATCATAAAAGGCTGCCATGCAGACTCCTAGTGGTGTTTAATAAGTATGCAAATACTGTAGGAGAAAGGAGTGAGCCTTGAAGAAAAACTTTCAAGTAAGGGTTTGGTAATGGAGGAACAATTACACAAGTGGTGCTCCCAGCTCATTTGATTAACCTCAGTAACTGATGAAAGCGGTTTGACTATCAAACATAGATCACATTCGTTCTACCTGCATGGAATCAAGTGTTCAACTACACCATATTTTCCCTTTCTGTTATCCTCTTGTTTTCTATACCGATCCATTCCCTCCTCTCACTCCTGCTAGACCCTTGAGTGTGACCACCCAGTTTCAGTTACATGGACTGAATATCTCAATAAGTCAGAGGTCTTAATTGTGCTAGATGACAGTGGTGCAAGAAGTCCTTAACCACTGTTTGCAATTGGTTTCTCTAAGAGTTTCCTCTAGACTTCATTATTTTGGGGCTCCGAATATATTTTGTTCAACATAAAGGCATTGTTTATGCTTTGCATGCAGCTTAAACTTCTGAATGTGTGTTTTGTACTTGATGAACATCAGTGTGGAGTGAACACCCCATTTGTGTTTTGAACTAAAGCCCATCCACCTGAAAATCATGGCACCAGTAAAACTGGGAGGACACTAATGCTCAGTGTGTGCAGTCACATAGTCACTTGTTTCTGAATAAAAAAGGCAATCACAAATTTTAAAAGTTTTATGTCGGGGCTAGTGTTCAGAGCACTGCATAGAAAATTAAGAAACAAGATTTTGGCCTAGATTTATCATTTAAATTCAACTAAAATGCTGCAGACTACTAATGGCAAAGATGATGCAAATGGGGCCAGGACGGGGAAACATTACAGAAGAAAGGGGAGCATGTACGAAGACAGTTGTTTTAATGATTTGGATCGACTATAAAATAGTCACATTTTTAATCTTTTAACTTTTGGGGTTGGTTTTTTTTCACCTTTAAAGGGTCACATAGCATTTAATAGTGATAAATTCAATTGAACCCTATGAAGATCCAAAAGCTCTTTTAAAAAATCTTTATGAAACGATAAAATAATAGGGCAGATGATACTTTCCGTGGACTGAAAATCAACTGATACAATTTCAGAGAAAAAAAAAAACCTTAAAATGCTGTCATACTGTTGACTAAATGTCAAATGACAAATGTCTTTTTGCCTGACTGTTTGGAGTTGCTGGGTACTTGATGCTCCCATGGATTTGGCATAGGGCATTACTCAGTATTTCTGAACTTAAGGCCCTGAGTACATAGCAACTTTTGATTTGACTCAGCTTGCACGTTAACAGGGTTTTTTTCAGCTGAAAGTCTTGTGTAATTATCGCTTCTAATTGTTTGCATTTTCTTTGTTTGGTTTTTTTTGCCTGCTTTTGGAATTTATGACTGTCCAGTGAGAAGGACACTAAAGAGCGGACTGACACCAGAAGAAGCCAAAGCACTGGGCCTCATCAGCACCTCTGAGATGCAGGTTTGACGTCCCAGAGGTGGCGACAAGAAGAGCCGTTCATCTGAAGCACACAGGCTGACAACCCTTCGGTGTGGCATTGACCTGCCAGCCTCCTCCGCTGCTCCCAACATCCCATCCTCTGTTAGTTCGATTTTAATAAGCAACAAAAAGCGAAACCCCACAGCCAGGGCAGAAGAAGGGTGTGCCGCAGCTCAGCACAACATCCGGACAGTAACTGAGGAAGCGTTTGAGTGCTTGTAGGTGAAAGCATATGGCTTCTTCTTCTCATGGTGTGTTGATGTGGGTAGGAGGGGGTTCTCTCTGAGTTATCTGTCATTATGTGAGCTGTGTTTACGTTGGCTTTCCTTGTGCCCTGTTTTAGTCATTGTAAATGTATGGCGTTTTGTCAATGCAAGGAACAGTCCTTAAAGAGGCAAAATAACTCCTGTTACAGCAACCCCAGTTTTCCTGAAGCAGATTCATTAAGCAAAGATGCACAGTCAGTGCAACGCTGTGGTTTGTTGGGGTTTTTTATTATTTTGCCACCAAAGAATGTAAAAATGTATGTGTACCTTTGTATATGTACAGAATGAATGTGTGGACATATGTGCGTGTATCTATACACATACAGTTATGGTGTGAAATCATGCTCTTGCTGAAGCTAGCTGGACCATGATTTTCACTCTGGGGCCTTACTGTTCCACCTGGACAGGAGGAAAAGAATGTCTTTTTGTGGGAACTCAGTGTTATTCAATGGGATTCACCCTGTGGGGCAGGAGGTGGCCTGCAATGCAAGTGGAAAGTTTAGGATCCTGAATTCATATGTATTAATACGCACTCATACTGTACATAGCAGCATGCGCACAGAGGAGAGGACACAGAATACCTCCCTCTTGTTGAGCTATGGCCGTACTGTGCATTTGTACAGTTTCAAAGAGGTCTATGCCAACAATTTTACATACTCGATAAATGCATTCAGATGCTAAGATCAAGAAGTTTTGTTCACTTGCCTGTGCCCTTCATGCTGCTTTTCTCTGCTGCAAGATAATGTGGTGGTGATTTTATTTCAAATTAATGGATCTGAATATGAAATGGCCCTGCTAAAAGCCTGCTGTGTTTTTGCTGTTCTTTACTCTTTTTTTGTGATTATCCTTGATGCAAGTGGAGAGGGTACCACAGTGAACACTCCAATATGTTTGCCCTTATCTCGCTGTTTTATAACTGACTTTTATAACTGCCCTCAGCATGTGTGTTTGAAGAACCTTTAGTCAACTCCTCTGCCTTTAAGTGGAGGCCATACACAGCAGTGAAAATGAATTGAACACAGTCACCCTAGCCAGTGCTGAAGCATTTTGAAGAGAACTGCAAACAACAACAACATAAAAGGGAACTTTTTAAGCCAAAGTCTGTATATGGCCAATTGATCCTCAAGGGTGCACAAGATCATCTCTTTCCTTTGCCTTAGCCTCTAAGATTAAGGGTGTGTCTGCACAGCAATAACAGCTGAGGCTTTCTTCAAGCTAGTTAACTGGGGCACTGCAGCAGTTTAGTCATGGTAACAGGGTTCGATTTTGGCTGCAAAACACACTTGAAAAGTAGGGTTAATTAATAGTCTATGCTGGGCTCCTAATGCCATAGCTATGTTGCTTCTGGCACCCAAGCTAGGTCAAGTACTTCAAGTTATTCTACTCTGCTCTCATTAGGGACAGGACAATCGCTGAAGATTGTTCAGGATAGTTGAACCAAGCACAATAAACCTTTGAAACCTCGGTCATCCATCACATCGCATTGAGCACAGCATCCAAGTGATGAGAGAACCAGGTAGCTGCCAACACTGCAATGAGATCTGCAGTTGAACATCCTATCTATGCTGTCCACCCTCTTGATCGTCACATTTCATTCTTTATCTGCCGATGCCTTGGATCTTCACGTGTCAAAGTCCATGGGATAAAAAGTCACTAATGAGCAAAGGTTCTTAAGGGCAGCAGCGAGTTTGATGTGGTTTTCCCCTCAGCATGTTAAAAAGTCAATTTTACAAGTTGGCAGAAGACAGTAGTTGTGTAATTAATAAAATGTGTTGTGTATTTGAAAGCTATGGAAAGGAGGAAGCTGGTTAGGAAACAGAAAGAAGTGGCATGTAATTAATTTCACTGTACAATAAGCAAGACCTACAAGCATCTGGACTTTAAAGTGGATCTTTATGTGCTGCTCACATTATGGACTTTTTAAATCTCTCTTAAGGATGCTTAGAACAAAGAAATGAAGGTAATGGGGGTTTGCGGAGGTCTTTGAAGTCTGAAACAAGAGGAAGACACCCTGAATGTAATGGTTATGCTGAACTGTGATGCTTGCTAAGTGATAAAAGAAGAAAAAATGCAACAAAATGCATTTATGCTGACAGAGGTCTTATATTTGATTGGAGAGAGAAAATCAAACAAGTTTTTAAAACTATTTTAATTAAAATACGCTGAATGTGCAAAGTAGGTGGCTGTTGGTGACCACTTGCTAACAGGAAACAAATTTGTGTTTCATTTAGACACAGTACAGCATCTGTGTCTGAAACATAACATAGCTGATGAATTACTAATGGTTGGGCATACGTATTTTCCAGGAATTGTGCAAAAATTGTGCAAAACTTCATATGCTCCTTATCGAGGAGAAAATTAAATATGGGGAATGAGGTTAGAATAAGTTCAGAAAAAAAAGCTGGTTTCTTTCAGGTTCTCTGGATGCAAGTGTCTTACAAGTGAAGCATATTCTTCTTAGTCTATTTTTCCATTATGTCTGTTTTTCTGTTCCTGCTCTCTGTAAAACTGATAGCAATTTTTCTGAAGGATAACTTGGTCTTGTTTATGCAGTAGCGTACAGTCAGATTAATTCCACTGTCCTCAAAGTTTATTGCAACAAGATCATCAAACACAGTAACAATGCAATAACTACAGAAAAGATTTCCATTTCGGTTCCTGATAAAAATGGCCAGCAGCCCAGTGTGCTCATCTGTAAGGTGGCAGTATTTCCTCCGGAGTCTGCTAGCATGTCCTGACTGTGGGAATAACATTTGTTCCCCTTCATCTAACTAGTGGATTCCAGATGAAATGGAGGAATTTGTTATATTAGCATGCCTCTGTCTGTCTAATCAGGTTGTAACCTTCAGGTTTTGAGTTGCTGCCTGCCCCTCCATCATCAGAAGACCCCACCATAAGGATGTAACAGTTGTTTTAAAATGTGTGTGAGATGTGGATTGTTTTTGTGACAAATATAAAGGTCTTGGAAACACGATGTAGTAACACATGTTCCCATTTCTCACGCGGAGATCCATGAAGGCTGTTTTTAAACACTTGCAGCCATAATAACTACCTCTCTTCTCTTTCTCGTAGTACCAGTCAGCTGCAAATGTAGTGCCCAGAGTTTTGTACTTCCACCAAGCTCTCAGAGTCACTGCTGGTGTTCATTTCAGCACCCATCTGCTGCCAATAACTTGTCTGTCCGTCTACCACTATAATGCCTTCCTGATTTGGATGCTGAGGTAAACTTTAGCATATGAAATGGCTGCCAAAGGGAAGCTATCCCAATTTCCTTTCATCTCCCTTGGTGTTTAAAAGCAGACTGCATACAAATACTTTGTATTCCCTCGCTCCCAACTGAGGGATAACTTTCAGTAGCAGTTATGTGGCTGTGGTGAAGAAACACCCTCAGGGAATGCTGTGTGCCACAATCAAGAGTGAAAGATCCCTCACAAAAATTAAATTCATCACTCTTCACCTTTCAGTAAGGCCAGGCATCAAGCTCGTGGATTCCAGATGTTTTATAGCCCCTTGGCTGCTACGTCTGACCCTTCTGTTTGTTCGATAGATCCCTGTCCATAATCCAAAATCAACAAAAAAAATGGTGTTTTAATGAGGGTCTTTCTTGCTCCGATAAATACTGGAAACAGCGTCAAAAGCTGTTTTCAAAATACATTTCTTTTTCTTTTTTGACCCCCTTTTATTTTAAATCTCTGTACTGATTGACTCTGTCAGCAAAATAAGGCATCAGGTTTGTAGGTAGACGAGACTTTGGCTTTAGCTTAATAGAAAGTCACATGTGAATATCTAGATAAGAGTTCATGTCCCGATTCAACAGAAATTTGGAGTCAGAGTCTTGATGTGACTGAACAGCAAGGGCCTCCTGCAAGGTGCTCCATTCCCCCTCAAGGTACTGGATAACATGGCAGGACAGCACCTTAAATCCCCGGTGTGCTATGCTCTGAACATACCCTGGTGAATGCTAAAAGCCATTGAAAAGTCACAAGTGAGGACTGCAACATCTACTGCAAACCAAAGGGGCACCATGCCACTCTAGGTGCAGTAAGTGGTTCTTTTTGTCAGGCATCCGCCCTACACCGGTGTCCCCAGTAGTGTAACAACAGCAAGTGTCTATCCAAAATGCTTTAGAAACCGTTTGACCGATGCTAGTAGTCTGGATTCAGGTGTGTGTATGCTGTGCGGTTATTGGTTTTACAATGCTTTGGTTTCACCGAGATGGAATGGGGACACGGTGGCAGCCTACCGGTTTCACATCCTTTATCCTCCCACTACAACTCGTAGGCAGGCGTACAGGCTACCTGCCAGTACCTAAAGGATGTGCAGGGACGCGGCGCCAGACAGAAGCACGAGCCTATTCCTCTCCCTTTTTCACTCCTGTACGCTCACTACACGGGTACCGCTCCCCTCGTTACCTTCAAGCCGGGTTGTGCTTGCGTGCGTAGGCAGAGAGCCTGACCCCGCGCCGTGTTCGGATGATGGCTCTGCGTTTCCAGCATCAGGATGCAAGAAACACTTGCCTAAGCTGTAAGGACTACAACTGTTGATGTTTCTCCGCAGGGAAAACTGCCAGGTACTTACAGGCTCTGAAAGAAAATAAACTGAAGCATTTTTGAAAGAGAAAATGTTTGGTTATGGGTAACTGTTGAAAATTATTTGCAAACACTTGAACAACACGTAAGGGCTACCTTCCTTTTTTTTGACTGGGGCAGCAACTGGCGCAATTGGCATTTCAGATGCAATCCCAAGAGGTTTTTGGCAAGCAGTTTAATAGTTACATAGCAAGTAATTCAAGGAGTTTCAGAGATGTTGTATAGTTTTATGTTTACTCAAAAAAAAAAATTAAAATTATTTCTAATTAGTCCATTTCACATTGAGTGGCAGATAGAGAGATATTTTGTTTAATCACTATCTAATACAGAGGCTTCTGTGAAAGAAAAGGTTTATTTGTAGCATTGGGTGCATTTCTCCTTTTTAAAGACTGTCTTTGCGCGTATAGTGTCCTTTTTTTGTGAGCTGGGAATTGTAAAAAAATGTAAAGTAGAAAAGGACGTGTTTCTTAGACGAAGGAGAAATACTGTAAAATTGTGTAAATGTCACTACTCATGTTTTTTCGTGTTCTGTGTAGCATAGTGTAAAATAGGCTTTCCGGCAGTGTTATTCTGTGAATTGTAATTTAAAAAACAAGCCATGCATGGTCAGAGATATTATCTACAGGTCCTTTTGGTTGAGTTTTTGGTTTTGTTTATTGTTTTCTCATTTTAGGTGAATTTGTTTTATGTTAAATTTAATTGTCCGTGAAACTGCATTTTTGTTTCTCAGTTTTATTTCAAAAGAACTTGAATTACTCTTTAAGATTTTATTACACACGAAGCTCACCTACCGTTTGTATTGATCCTTCAGAAGCTTTGTCACATTTAGTGTAAACCAGGGGGATTTTCTTTTTAACACGCCCCTCATCTGCCTCTTCTCCCCCACTCTCCCCACTTTACTGTATGGAAAGATGCAATCACTCTTTTTTTTTTCTGTGCCATGCAGGGTCAATATGGAAAACCGACCGCAGACCTGTGTCCAAAATTTCTTGATATAAGTAGTTAAAAAGCTCA